CCTTTCGTATACATATCTGCACAACAGATTTTCAAAAGAAAAACATATTTTTTTGAAGAAAAGAAAGTTTCAAAATAAAAATATTTACCCGTAGATTATTGGTTTGACTTCATTAAACCCTCCAAACTTTTGCTTCCCAATCTAATTCCCCCTAAAATTAAAGGTTCATCGCTATTCGATACCCCTAAACTGATAATCTCACTAGAACACACACGCTCTTTATATCTAATTAATTATACATTTACAATAGTATAAGTGAAATTGCGTTTTTTTTATAAAAAATAAAATTGTGTTAGCACGAAAAAAACATTAAAAAAAACAAAGCTTGTTTTTCTTCTCAGTCACCATCTCCGGTGTCTGTAACAGTGTCTTTTTATTAAACGCAATTTCCCAGATTTGTTTGTACATGTGGAACTAACTAGAAAGAAAGAGTTTATGTGTTTTATTGATGCAGATTATCAGTTTAGGGTGTTTAGTAATGAACCTAAAACTCTAGGGCGAATCAGACTGGAAATCAAAAGTTTAATTAGAGGGTATAGTGAAGTCAACCCTAGATTTATAAATAAAAAAAAAATTTTGGTTTGTAAATATGTTTGAAACCTATAGATCATATCGAACCTTTTAGCAGGCTTTTTTTTGCCTTGTAATATATTCAAGGCTAGATTCAAACAAACTTTATAGGATTCTAGCAACGAGGTTTTAACTGATGATTCCTTGTTTCCTTGTTTCAGTAAGATGTTATTAATTTGTAGGTGTTCTGTGGTTGATGCTTGCTTCGAAGCTGCAAATTTATACTCTTGTTTGAAATGAGAAGATGTGGTGGACTCGTTGGCCAATTTCAAAAATATGATATGAATGATGTTTATTATATTGATGTGATTCAATCAAATTAAATAAAGCTAACAATGTATTTAATGTAGGTTGTTTACATTAATAACTCTATGTAGTTCCATTAGGTCATGTGATCATCGTTTTGTATGTTTATCATGGAGTATTTGCTTGTGTTCAATTTTTTTTTTCTTGCGATTTTGGTGGATATACACTTCTTGGCTTTTTTTTGTCACGAAACACTTCTTGGCTTGTTTCACAAAAAAACTTATTGGGTCTGTAATTTTTTATTTTTTGAAAGACTGTTAAATTTTATTCAAACAAAAAAACATTGTTACACAAAATGCTTCCTCTTAGAATTGGGACAAACCAATTCAAAACAAAACAAACTAATAGAAAACCAAACAAAACATCCTAACAACTCCCCTCGTGTTTAACCATGGAAAACAAGTCAAACATGGAAGGACCATAATATTATCCTCATTAAAACCTCATCAAAATAAACCTAAATGAGACAAATCTTTAATGAAGAAAAAAAATAATAATCTTATGACCAGAAAGTTCTAAAGATGAAAACTGCCAGAAAAAGAAAAACCCACTCCAACCTTCCAAGACCCAAAAAAACCACCCCACGCCGACTTCAGCATAACGCCAAGAAGAAGAGCTCATCAACCTTGCCAAGAACCAAAACCACCTCAACAAAAGACTACACAAGACACCATCACCAGAAACCACATCCAACATCTTCGCAAATTATCTACTAAACCACACTTCCATGGCTTTCATATATCTCTCACCAGCCTTTCTTCTCAAAGAAGTAATTATATCTATAACCAGCTTGTCTAATCTTGCAATTAAACAACTAGCTGGCTGAGATGGCTCGCCAACCCTCCTTACATTCCTCTCATGCCAGATTGCATAAAGTACCGCTTAGAAACAATATCTCAAAAGAAAAGTCGAGTCCCTATTGTGTCTGTTTTTATTAACCGGCACTAAATTATTTAATCTGTTACTACAAAGAAGAATTTTGTGGATTAAATATTTTTCTTTAAAATATAAATCAACTAATTTGCAGTTACCTTTATAATGATTTATTTAAATGTAGATATTTAGGTAAAGACAATTTTACTTTTCTTCAAAAAAAGGTTAGAATAATGGTAAATGTGAACTGGTTTAACTATAACAATTAAAAAAAAAAATATAAATATTCAGAGTAAATGTATTTATTATTCTTAATCCGTGTAAAAAACTTAAAAATCTTATATTTGGAAATGGATGTAGTATTCATTTTAAGCTTCAAAATGAACACACCGCAGACCGTAATTAGAACATATGAAGAAGACATCTTATCTAATTAAAACTAGATTTTGACCCGCGCAACCGCGCGGGTGTTTGTTTTTCGTTTATAGTTAGTTATATAAACATTTTGTTTTCACTTGTAAATTAGTATATATTATAGTAATCACATATTTACATACATATAGTAAATTTTTTTCAAACATAATAATATTATATAATACGTGTTTTAATCAAATAAATTGTTTCAAATTTTCTATATTATACATGTTTTTCAAATAGGTGTTTGTTTCTTCTTCTATATTTTATTGTTTATTATATTAGTATTTCATTTTTAGATAAAGTAATATAAATAGAGCTTGATTAAATATTAATATATTTTAATTTGCAAAGATAATATAAACTTCGAAGAAATTTTTGCTTAAAACTGAACTTATAGCTTCATAAATTAATAATATAAATAATTTTATTAAAAAGGAATTTTTAAAACAATTTCTTTTTTTAAAACAATACAATTTTAAAAATTTACATCGAATTTAATTTATCTAGTATATATAGCGTGTAAATTTTGTTAGGGTATATAAATATTCCATATTACGAATCTGTGATTTTTGTTAATATATTGTGGATGCATTTAAATATTATTAACATATTTCCTTATAAATAATAGAATATTCCTAAACTTATATCTATTGACATATTTTGCGCGACTAAGTTGGAAGGTGTGGGGTAATTTACCAAAACCAAATTGTTAAGCGTATCTTTGTTATTATAGATATGATTTTGCATAAGATATAATAATGATAAGATTATTAGAGAGTTAATGTAACATAACTTTCTAATAATAGTCTATTTTTGAAAAAATCACACATGAAGTTAAGTCATGACTTCTGTTTTAATATATAAGATAATAAATTACTTCGGAATGCATTGTTTAATGTATTTTTGGTTTAAAAAAATCACTTGCGAAAAAAAATGTATTTTTGGGTTACAAGAACATTATAATTAATAGTTTTTTGAGAAAAATTAATAGTTGTTGGTGTTATTCTATTGTACAAATTATTTCGATTATTTTGTTTGGGGACACGTTGTCAACAACCACTATAGATTAGTTTGTTTATGTTCAAATAGTCCAAGTGGTGGGTCATTTTCGGGCTACCAAGAAGTGTATATGGAGAATAGTCCAAATGTATGTACATAAAATCGAAGTGCCGTCTGTTAATGGTTGCATTACCAGCTTTACTTGGTCAAAATATAATTAACAAAGTCAGTAATGAGTTGAACTAATTAATTTCATTAAAAGAACTACAAATTACACTTTTCATTCCAAGTTCTCAGCGAATACTTTACGAGATTAGACATTGCCGTGTGTTGAACAAGGTTTCTGTGTTACAACATTTGGCAGTGTCCCCAATTCCAACTAATTTTCCTTATTAGGAGAGCAACTCAAAATTTCTTCTTAGAGAAAATTCCATATAAATACTTCAACTAAATTTTATTAAGCTTTTTAATTCCCAAACTTTTTTGCTACCCAATTTAATATCACAACTTATTATCTTACCCATTTTAATGCACAAAATTTTATAAATGTGTCAATTTTAATACCCAAGCTTTGTTTATTTTAATTAACAATACGAATAAGTTTCTAATAAATTTTTTTAAATTTCTAAAAAAAATTGAGTTTATTATATGTTAGAGAAATGAAATTAAATAATTTTTTTATAATCTTAAGTTTTGTAATAAGTTTTTTTAAGTTTTATATATTGAATTTAGTTTGTTTTCTAACATAAAATGTAAATTATTTTTTTCCTTCAAATTTTTTTTTAAACATTTCAATTTTCTCCAGAGTTTATTTACCTTCTTTTCAAATCTTAAAGTAAATTTAGAGATTTTAAATATTTTTTCTTAGATTTTGGAGATTTTTAAAAATTTTGTTTGAAACTTTAGTATTTTTAATTAAAATAAAAAAGTTTGGGTATTAAAATGGGCACAGTTATAAAAAAATGTATATTAAAGTGGGTAAAATTATTAGTTGAGATTTTAAATTGGGTAGTAAAAAATTTTGGGTACTAAAAAGCTTAATAAAATTTAGTTGGGATATTTATATGGAACTTTCCCTTCTTCTTATTATAGTCTAAACAGCAAATCTCCCAAAACAACAAACAGTTTTTTTTATGCCAAAAAAATTGGTTTTTAGAAACTAGTTTAAGTTTGTATAATTATATTAGTATGGTATGAAGTTTTCTTTTTCTACTTTTTGTTTCTAATTCGTTTTTTAACCGATAATGTTTAAATCAAACAAAAAACATTGCAAAACTAATATCAATTTTAAATTTAATTTTAGTTTTAATTAATGAACTTTTGAACCTTAGTCATATTAAAATCAAAAAGGAAAAAAATTCATGGCATGGAAAAATTGTACTAAATATGATTTAAGAAGGATTTAATTTCCTTAACTCTATAAATTTAAAACCGAAAAAACCAAAATACACTGAGGCCATCTCAAATAGTCCACTATATTTTCTCTATAAAATAGATTAACTCTATAATAGAATTGAATTATACTCCAATGATATTCTATTTTAGAGCAACAAACAGAATGATGAACAAAAAAAAATTAAACTACTTTATTTTTAGAATAAATCATTATTACTTATTATACAGAGAAAAAAATAGATTAATGCTCTAAAAAGACATTGCTGCTCTTAATATTAAAAAATAAAACCGGGCAAATCTAAAAGACCGAACCGGTTAGTACCAAACTTAGCTGGCCACAAACGACCAGACCGCAAGCAACTCTGTTTTCTAAAACTAAAAGTAGCTTTTCATCTATTTAGACGCCCTGTAACCATAACCATTCAACTCTCTCTTCCCATCTTGGACCAGCTCTCTCTCTCTCTCTCTTCTCGTCCTTTCTTTGAGGAAGCGTACAAAAAAAAAAATTTGAAAATTAAAAAGGAATATCAATTCTAGGGTTTGTTCCTCGAAAATCAATTTTCGAATTCTCCTCCTTTTTTTCCTGATTCTTCTGTTGGGTATTTACGCCGAGAGAGAGAAGACGGAGAGAGGGTTTCGAAAAAGGAAGATGAGAGGAGGCTCCGATCTATTTGACCCCAAGACCGACATGGATTCCAGTTTATGTTCCTCCCCAGACGGTGACTTCGGTTTCGCTTTCAACGACAGTAACTTCTCCGACCGTTTGCTCCGGATCGAGATCATGGGTGGGCCGTCGGATTTTTGCACGAGTATTGCTGATTGGGCTCGTTTTCGCAAGAGGAGACGAGAGGATAGTAACAAGGACAATGGTGGTACGTTAAAGTTTTCACCTTTATGATGAAAAAATGAAAAAAAAAACAGAAATTTATTGAAATGTCAAAACTTTCGTAGGATAAAATGTGCTTGTGATTTTGTTACAACTGTTTTAGCTTTTGGTTTCTCCTCTTCTCAGTATTAATGTGTGTTTTGGCATTTTCAGTTACGGTTTCAGACATTGTGGCATGTCCGGAAGAGCAGATTATAACGGACAACAACCAACCTGATATGGATGATTATCCTGGTGGTGACGAAGAAGGAGATGCAATGGTGGAAGAGGCTCTATCAGGTACTTGATTGTATTATAAATCTTACAGCTTCTCTTGAGTGGATTTTTTTCTCTCTTAGAGCTTTTGTGAAGGTAACTTGTCTAAAATCTTTTAGCTTTTTGTTATAAAAATTGTTTTCCAGGTGACGATGATGCGTCTAGTGAACCAAATTGGGGAATGGACCATTCTACTGTTGTTAATGTTAAGGAACTTCATATTAGTTCCCCTATCTTGGCTGCAAAAAGCCCCTTTTTCTACAAGGTAGCTTTTTTTTTTTTCCTTTTCTGCATCCTTATTGTTTGTCATACATAGAATAACATTGTTCTTTGCTTTTTGTTGTAGCTCTTCTCCAATGGAATGAGGGAATCTGAACAAAGACATGTAACCCTTAGGGTTAGTGCACAAGGTTCGGCAGTTTAATATCTAGCTTTTCTCAATCTCATTCTAGTTGGCTACAGTTCTCTCCTTTGTTATTAACTCAGTTACTGAATTTAGTTTTCCCTTATGGTATTTTGTATTCATGAAACGTAGACAGTGTTAAGAGATCTTACATGTGCTGTGTGTTGTGGCAGAGGAAGGTGCTTTGATGGAGCTTTTAAACTATATTTATAGCAACTCGCTAACTGTCACAACAGCACCTGCTTTATTAGATGTCCTTATGGCTGCTGACAAGTTTGAGGTCGCATCCTGCATGAGGTATTGCAGCAGACTCCTCCGTAACATGCCTATGACCCCTGACTCCGCTTTGCTCTATCTCGAGCTTCCCTCCACTGTTTTAATGGCTGAAGCAGTCCAACCTCTAACCGATGCAGCAAAACAGTTCCTTGCCTCTCGCTACAAAGATATTACCAAGTAAGAACAGACTCCAATGGTTTGAAATACATGAACTCGAGTGTTGTATTCATGGCGTTACCATTTTTGTTACAGGTATCAAGAAGAGGTTATGGCCTTACCGTTGGCTGGAATCGAGGCGATACTATCAAGCGACGACCTCCAAATAGCTTCTGAGGACGCTGTTTACGACTTTGTGTTGAAATGGGCAAGGGGACAGTACAGTTCATTGGAAGACCGTAGAGAGATTCTCGGTTCACGCCTCGCCCTCTACATACGCTTCCCTTACATGACGTGCAGAAAACTCAAAAAGGTACTAACATGCAGTGACTTCGAGCATGAAGTAGCATCAAAGCAGGTCATAGAAGCGCTCTTCTTCAAAGCAGAAGCTCCACACAGGCAACGCATCCTAGCCGCAGAAGGATCAAACTCCAAGAACCGTCGATTCATAGAGAGGGCTTACAAATACAGACCCGTTAAAGTAGTGGAGTTCGAGCTCCCTCGTCCGCAATGTGTAGTCTACCTTGACTTGAAGCGAGAGGAGTGTGCAGGACTGTTCCCTTCGGGGAGAGTCTATTCTCAGGCTTTTCATTTAGGTGGTCAAGGCTTCTTCCTATCGGCGCATTGTAACATGGACCAGCAAAGCTCGTTCTACTGTTTTGGGCTGTTCCTTGGGATGCAAGAGAAAGGAGCTGTGAGTTTCGGTGTGGACTATGAGTTTGCGGCGAGGCAGAAACCTACACAGGATTACTCGAGCAAATACAAAGGGACCTATACGTTTACTGGTGGCAAAGCTGTTGGTTATAGAAACCTTTTTGCGATTCCTTGGACTTCGTTTATCGCTGAGGATAGTCAGTACTTTATCAATGGCGTTCTTCATCTCCGAGCTGAGCTCACCATTAACAGACCTTAACTGATTAGTTTTCCTCGTGTCTTTTTTTTGTCTGTCTATTTCTATATATATATGTTTTTGCATTATCTCTTTTGATGTAGCAGCTCTTGAGTCTCTCTAACCACGAGTGTCTTTCTGTAATTTGTCTACGGAGCAGTAAGAAAGTAAGGTTTTGAAGAGTACGCACGCTGTAAATTTGAATGAAAAAATAAATTTTCTATGTGCACTAGTTGTCTATTTTTTCAATTCTATTGTTTTTCTTACTCGCGGTGTTAACTTAAAGCTCATTACCGGCGACTCTTTCATGATGAACGGCCAGGATTTAATGTTGGCTTTACCGTCGCTTACGTCATCGAGACCTCAGCAGCTATCTGAGTGGCTTTGTGGACAGAAGCTCTTTTATGCCAATATTCAAAGTGGGCGTAGCTTTGTTTTTCATCCGTTGGATCGATCATTTGATAATCCAGCCGTCAAGCAGCTGTCGGAGTTAAAAGTGTTATTTGATAAAAAGCCGTCTCGTGGCACCTTTGGAAGATCTAACTCTACTAGAAAACTGCATCAACTACTTGATAAAAAGCCTCGAGCCGATGCTGTAGCAACTGGTTAACGAATGTTCATTCATTAAGACACTTTAGTATCGGGTTTCTACTTAATTTGTCAGCATAAACAAAGAAAACAAGTGTTGCTAATTCCAAAAAATAGGATTAGAAGAGATTCTGAATGAGAGGGAGAAAGATAAAACGTTTCCTCCAGATGAAAATTTGATATTGTGGTGGTTGTTAATATATAGAGAGGTTTTTGTTGTGTGTTTTTCTGTATACATGGCTTCCTATAAATGCTTTTTTTCAAATGTATTTTTGATTCATTCTACTTCGTCCATAAAATGAATGAAAGAACCAATCGATCAAATATTGTGAAGAGATTACCTCTTTTGAATGCCAAAAGCATTTATAGGTCCCAAACGACCTTTCACACCATCTAATTCATCTACAAGAAATCGACACCGGCCAGTTATTGTAAAGACTATGTTTGTCGTATAGCTTCGATGATAACTGGTAGTCACAGCATTTGTGATCAGCTCCAAGCAAAAACCTAAGCGAGACAAGAAAACATGTTGATTTGGGAACAAGAACACTCTTTATCAGAACAGTTCTCTCTACACATTATAGATAGGGCCCAACTCCGAAGGACCGAAACAAAAGGTACAAGAGAAAGAAAGGAGCACATAACATGCCTTTGCAGTATTAACAAGTGAACCTTTACAGTAAAAAAAAAAACAAGTGAACCTGTAAGTGTAAGGAAATGAGAATCATCAGCTAGTCTAAAGAGAGCCATGTAATGGTCTTCTTGTGAGTAGTTGTGACCCACTTCCTCAAACAGCTCTGTTTTCCTCTTACTGACTATATTAATTTTTCATGAATTTTATAGTTTTTTTTTTCAAATTAATTTTATAGGTTTAATGATTCTAATATAACTCAGAAAAAATTCCATACTATGATTATTATCAAATTTAGTCGAACCTGATGTCTACTACCACTCTGCTCATGTTATCATGTGTGAATCTGAAAAGAACAGAAAAAAACTGAAACGGTAAAATGTTGGAAGAAGAGAAACAATAAGGACCAAATCGTAAGAAAACGGCGCGCGAAAGTTTCGGCTTCAAACGAATTCTCATCCTCACATCTCACGACAGCACACAGAACACAAAAGTTTCTCTCTTTCTTCCAAAAAACTCAAAATCTCTTAGAAACCAAGTTTCTATCTCTGCAATCATCATCATCATCATCATCATCACCACCTCTCTCTCTCTATGTCTCTATCTTCATTTCAATATTTTGATTCTGTTTCTCAGAAGATCATCTAAAGAGAGGTAAATCCTCAAATTTAAAAAATGGCAGATAAACCCGTCCTTCAAAAACCACCAGGTTACAGAAACTCAAACATGGCTACTCCTTCTCCTCCTCCACCCTCCAGACCCCAACCACCAATGAGAAAACCCTCCGGAATGCCTTCTTCCTCTTTCCGACCAAACCCAAAACGCAGCAAAAACTGCTGCCGCACCTGCTGCTGCTGCCTCTGCATCTCCCTCCTCCTCCTCCTCTTCCTCCTCTTAATCTCCACCGCCGTCTTCTACCTCTGGTTCGACCCCCACCTCCCCACCTTCAGCCTCGCCTCCTTCCGCCTCGACGGCTTCAAACTCTCCGACGACCCCGACGGCGCGTCTCTCTCCGCCACCGTCGTGGCCCGCGTCGAGATGAGGAACCCCAACACCAAACTCGTTTTTTACTACGGAGACACCGCCGTGGAGACGAGCGTCGGCAACGGGAACGACGAGACGGGGATGGGGGAGACGACGGTTGAGGGGTTCAGACAGGGGCCGAGGAACTCGACGAGCGTTAGAGTGGTGACGTCGGTGAAGAACCAGTTGTTGGATGTAGGTTTGGCTAAGAGGTTGTCGGGGAAGTTTCGGAGTAAAGATTTGGTGATTAATGTTGTGGCGAAGACGAGAGTTGGAGTTGGTGTTGGTGGGGTTAAGGTGGGAATGCTCGCTGTTAATTTGAGATGTGGTGGTGTTAGTTTGAATAAGCTTGATACTGATTCGCCTAAATGCATCATCAATACACTCAAATGGTAAGATTATTAACGACAATGACGATTGTTATTTTTTTAATGTTGGTTTAAATCCAAAGTTTGAAACGTTATGTGTGGTTAATATTGCAGGGTGAATATACAGTAATGAGTAACGAAGAATTCGAAAATGGTGGTGATCTAATCTGACATTCGTATATGTAACTCTATACTGTAGATAAATATATATATTTCTTTACTATATTCTATTTTTCGTGTTTTATATATTCAATTTTTGGGTATTTGACTACACTGAGGTGGAGTATTTAGAGAGTGTTGTGTTATTATTGACCGTGCGTGAAAAGATTTTGTTGTGGGATTGGGAGGAAAACATGATGTAATGTGATGAGTATTTCTAAAACTAAAAGTGATAATAACTTGGTTGCAAAGCATACTAAGGGTATAGATAATGTGAGCTTGTTCCCCTAAGCATCCACCTTGGTATATATATATATATATATATATATATATATATATATATATATATATATATATATATATATATATATATATATATATATCTCACAGCCTTTGTGGTATGAATTATCAAATTCAGAAAAACTTATCAATCTCATTTGTTCGAAACAGATAAAACATGACTAAAGTCTATAAAAGTTCATCTTCATTTTTTTTTTTTTTGTAATACAACTTTCCTTTGGTTAACGTAATGATTTAACATAGTTTGGAGAACATTAAGAGCATGTTTATTGGTGTTATCCACATAGGGTGTCTTAGTGATTTTTTTAATATTTAAGTGTAGTCTTTTGGCTGATAGACTTCTGAACAAAGAACGATCACGGAATGGTGTTTGTTGATTTGTGCCTTTTTTGGAGGCCTAAACTGGTAACGAGATTTATAAAGCGACTCTGTAAAATAATTTGATGAAAATTTAAAACGAGAGTCATGCTATCAGATTCGGTTTACAACATTAGTGAAGGCAACATTATGTCAGCTAATTTTCAATAAGTAGTTTATGTTTGAATGCTGTTGAGATTACTATATTGATCTTTCAACAACTAATGAAATATTTCATTTTATTTACCAATACTGTCATTTTCATATTTTTTACACAAAAATGTTATTTAGAATTTCAATACATTTTATAAATTATTTAAATTGTAAAACAGAATAATTTTTAAATAATTTTATTTATCTTAAATATTATAGATCGGAAACTGCCTGGCGTTTTGAAGAAATTAGTTTAGTTGACACAATTAATATAGCCAATGCCTCAAATATGGACAAAATTACATGATATTATGGACTGGTCTAGCTGCTCAACTTGCTTGGGATGTTCTGTTCTCTAGTCCATACTTGAGCCCAGGAGTGATCTGTCTGAAAACATCCAGAATCTTCATTGTACCATGCTATTGTCAAAAATTGGTCTCACGACTGAATCTTTACAGCTTTTAGACTCGGAGAAACCGCCTTCTCTCTCTTTCTTTGATTAACAAACAAGGGCATTTGTTATTGTTGGTGCTGGAGTTACTTGTCCACTAGATGTTGCAAAGACTCGTTAGAGCACCCCCATTGAAGGTTTATGGGGGGAGTTCACACGGAAATCAAAAAAAAAAAATAATAAAATAATAAAAATCTATGAATCCCTCTCTCCTAAAGTTCACCGCGGTTAACCCCTTTCTCCTGAGGTTCAACACGTGACGATTCGGGATTGGTCTAGACTTTTTTTTTTTGTTTTTTTTTTTAAAAAAAAATCAAAAAGAAAACAGAAAATTTTTAATAATAAAAAAATGATTCAATGAACCCCAAGAGGGGGTTCATTGATGTGGATGCCCTTAGTCTCGTCGTCAAATAGACGTAAGAAACATAATCAAGTCTCATCTTCCTTACCGTAACCTTATATTTTTAAGCGTCTTTGCCACACCCTGCTAGTGTGTAGTTTGTAGTAAAATTATTTGCGAAGTGGTTTTTTGTATTTAAATTCTGACATTAAAAATTGAAACGGATAAATCATTGTTATCCTTCATAAATTTATATATATATATATATATATATAAATTTATTATATAATTTAAATGAAATTTTATATCAATTATATCAGATTCATTTGTTAGATTAGATAATTGATAAAAATATATTTTAAAAAACTAAGATAATTGTTATATATACAGTGTTGTTATTTGGAAATAATATTTTCAGTATTTAAAAGTTTAAAATATATAGTTTAAATATTTCTAATGTGTAAGTGTTTTTAAAACTTTAACAATAATAAGAAAATATATATTTTGATAAAAAACAATTTATGTTTGATTTAGACATAAATAATAACTGATCATACTGCTTTTGGATTAATAAGATATAAAATAATAAATATTCGTTAAACATATTCCTGCATAAACCGACAAAACACTTAATTTTTTTTTTAAATAAGGGCAATGTAACATGTGAAATGGCATAAATAATTCCGTGATTTTATAGGTCTTATGAGTGTTGCTATCATGTGCAATTATATTTTATATACCTATTTTCTCTACGAATTGTTTGGTTTATCATTTGGCCTTTACATTATATTCTTTTTCATCATTTAGAAGTGTAACATCCATAGCTTTTAATAGCAAAACCTTTTTTTGTTTTTAAGAAACATCCATAACTTTTAAGATAAAACTGAGAATGGCAATGTAAGTGCCGTTTCCAAAGAATAATTCAAACGAAATCGAATATAACGGCAAGAAATTTCTAGATTGATTTTGAAATATTCAGATTGATGTTGGGAGGCCACAAATTCAAACAAGAACAGGATTTCTTTTTTTTCTTCAAAGTTAATAATAATTGTCAAAAGTTCTGTGTGATTCAAGCTATAAAGAACACACATCCTGTAAAAGATAAATAATTTTTTTTTTTTTTGGTAAACGATAAATAAATTGAATATGAAAGAAAAGGAATCATCAATCATCATCATAATCTGATGGAAAACATGCAGAGATTCAATCTCCAGGAATCATCATCATCATAATCATAATCAAGACAAAAAACATAAATCATGAGCAAATTAATAAAACCATACTCCGGATTTTTTTTATCCACACAAAAAAAAACTGAATGAAGAGACAAATCAGAAGAAGCTGTAGGAAGAAGATGCATCTAGAGGATGAATGAGATAAGTCAACACCAACGCCACCACCATTAGCAGATACGCAATCCCTTGATCTATCGATGTCCCTGAAGAAGAAGAATAAAAAACACTCTCAAATTCAGATCTGGACACAGCGAGAGAATGTGATATGCGTTGAATATGATACTTACCATCACTGGTGGGAGCAGGAGCCGGAGCTAGAGATTGAGCGCCGGCGAGAGACGAGACGACTGTGAAAACAAATGTGAATAACGCGAAACCGGCAACGTAACTCCTTGACGCCATTTTGATCCGACGAAAAAAAGAAGTTTGCCGGAAAGAGACAACGGTACAGACGGAGGAGGAAAGAGAAACAGTGTGAGGATGAAGTGAAGAGACAACTTGTTCTTATAGTACAAGACCCGGTTCTTGATTACTGGTTATAACCGGTAATTCACCAGGTTAAATCTATTTTACCAGTCAGCCGAAAATTCAAAAAAGCATGATTTATATCGGATTTTTTTTTCTACTTTACTTGTCAACATTGTCACCGCTATGTTTCTAGATAAATTTTTATTTTATTTTATAAAATTCTAGGGACGATATTTTATTAAAAGTTATGACTTGTTAGTGATTATTATTAAACATACTGATATAATGAAATATTAAAAATAAATGAAAAATATTCTTTCCATTGAAAAATTAGTTAATATCTATACTATTATTTGCGAAGTGATTTTTCGCAACGGAGCTCTCACGTTAAAAGTTAGATTGGTTAATATCTATTTTACCCTTAATGAAATTTTATATATAACTAATTTTATAATTAAAAACGAAATTTAAAAAATAAAATTAGATAAGTATGTTATTATCTTAGATAACTAAGAATAATTAATATAAAAAGTTTAACAAAAAAAATAAAAAAATAATTATTATATATAGCGGTTAATATATATTTTACCCTTAATAAAATTTTATATATAACTAATTTTATAATTAAAAACGAAATTTAATAAATAAAATTTGATAAGTATGTTATTATCTTAGATAACTAAGAATAATTAATATAATAAGTTTAACAAAAAAAAATTCTTATATATGTTATTATTATCTGAATATAATATTGTAACAACATGATAATGCCTATATATCTTAATTTTATATATAATTTATTTTGGCTTTTGAAAATAATATCATTCTATTATAAAATTAAAAATAAAAATAAAAATTGATTTTAGTTAAATATTAATCAAACAAAAACATTTGTATAAAGATACTTTTAATTATATAATCAAATATTAGATATTATGCAATGAAAAAATTAAAAAATCTATGCAATATAAAAGATTAATAAATTCGATTATAAATATTAGATTAATTAAATATATTTAGACTTAAATGATATCTTTAATGAAATTTATATATTTATATATAAATTAGTTAAAACGGATTTTATGTTAGTGATTGAAATTTATATGTTATTATATTAGTTAATTTATTATAAATTAGTAGGATAATTATCCACAATCATGCATATTTAAAACATAAGATATCTTATAGAATATTATACAGTTATCTGGAAATAATATTTTTATTATGAAAAATAAAAATGTAAGTTATAAAACAATTTAAAATTAAATATTAAGAAAAAATATAAATATATTTTCAAAAATATTTTATTATGTGGATATTTTTAATACTATAATAAACATATAAATTTTGATGAAAATTCATATAAAATTGTATTACTGTTTGATTTAGGTTTTTTAAAACTATAAAATATAATTTATAATATTATTTGGAATTAATAAAACAAAAAATAATAAATATTCGTAACAAAATTATGCCCGCATATGCGGGCACTCACCTAGTTAACTAAATATAAAGTTTGTGTTTAGAATATTTGAAATTTTTTCTCAAATAATGTGATAGCCGACTTTACAAGCCATGTGATGGATTATCACTTTTCTATGCCTTTTATTTTTATAACTTTTATTTTTTTATAAATATTATTGTTAACAATTTTGTTTATATATATATATCACATGGCTTTTTTGTTTAGAAGTTTTGACAAAATAACTTTTTTTGTTAAGAGTATCTCCAAAAAAACTCGATTTTGAAGTTTCCGAAATTCTATATTTGAAGTTTCAAGGTGTTCTCATCCAAAAGCAAATATTTAAACTTAACTTCAAAATTATTTATATTTTACCTTATGATTTTTATATTTAGCATAGTTAATATAAATTCATAAAACATTTATAAAATAACAAACACACATATATATATTATACAACAATATTAATTAATAAAATCTTCTACTAAAATATAAAATTATAAATACAAATACATGATTAAATATTAACTACAAGCAGAATACCACAATTTTGTTGTCTAATTTTAGATTTAAATTTTTGAAAATAGTAAAGTACAAGCAAATATTTTAAATTTTAAAATAAATTTTTATCTAGTTTTATCTCTAAAATTTAATTTTATAAAAAGTAAAATTTGATTTGAAATACTTAGGAGATATGAAAAAATAAGGATAAAAACGATAAACAAGAAAATATTTATAAATTATAAATTTTATTTGTAATTGTAAAAACCAAAATACAATTAAAAATATGAAATTTCAAATTTAGAACTTTGAGTAGTGAAACTTTGAAAATAGAGTGTTATTCTTTAAAACTTTAAATTTGAAATAAAAAAAAAGAAATAAAAAAAATTCTATATTTGAAATATAGAATTTCTTTTGGAGGTGTTTTAAGTATAATATAATTGATCTTTTGGAGTCTTATGGTGGGTCTAACTGACAGATTGGCAGACAAAACTTCACTTATTTATTTTGTTTACTTTCTTTTTACAATGATTCAAGTCACTTTTCATGCCATGTTGTCTTCTGATTAATTTAACGGCTAGCAGGTGTTGATCAGCGTGATTATCGGTTAATCAGCAGAGATTTCTATTTTTGAAAAAGATTTTCGTATCTTACATGTGGTTATAGAAAAATGCAATCCATATATAATATGATGGTGTTCTTATAACCTACAACATTGTTTAGGTAAATTGTTTTTTACTTTACTCTGGCAACTAAGTTCGGTTTACTTTGGCATAAGTTTACTTGTTTGTTTATCGTTCTAGTGCCAAAGTAATTCTTTTTTTCATTTATGATTTTGATGATAACTAGAGTATAAAAATGTTTAGTGAGTTTGTTTAATCATCTTACCACTTGAACTGCTTCCACATAATTTATATATTTTCGAGTAGTGTGTGATTTATATATGCTTGACTTATTTATTTTGGAGTACCTTGGTTGTTTAATGTCGACAATATGAATGATTTGCTGTATAATAATTATATTGTTGGTTAACTGAATGATTGATGTAATCTTTATGAGGTGGCTATTTTACAAACTAGTGAGAGGTATTGGCCGTTGGATCAGTTGCATCAATCATTTTATTTTTCCGAATTTAATAATCTTTTAACCTGACTCGAACATGCATGTTGCAGTTGGAAATAGTTTAGGGTCACCTTTTTTCATATTTGAAAACCGTAAAACGTTCTAAAGTTGTATTCTCCAGGTGCTTAAACATACAAAAAGTTCAATAATCAGCAAAAAAAAATATAGATACATATATCGAAATTCGATTCATGGTTCAGAATGAATGTAAATCCAAAAAGGAAAGATACACACCATATATGAGGGAAATAATTTGAATGGCCTCTTGCTTTTTCACTCTCACGCAGCTTCAGTCGTGGTAGGTTTAGTAATTAGTTAATCTTTGCTTGGCCTATTTTTTCTTTACCGCCTACAGAGTTATATATGCCGACTGATAATTAAACAATTAAAAATTTCTGATAAAAGAACATAAAGATTAGCACAACGAGACTGAAACATAGGGACAAGGAAAAGGAAGGAGTAATGGGCTAGTGAAGCAGCCATGTGCTCCAAGTTCTATTAGCAATGTTTGTGAGATATTCTCTCTGTTTCAAATTAGATAATGTTTTAAAGATTTATTTTATTTTAAAATATAAATTTTTTAATGAAATTTTAAAGTATATTTTGAGGTTTTAAGGTTATTTTTAATTTTATGGGAAACTGTTCAACCAATAAAATTTTATTATTTTTAATAATTGATTGAATAATTTTAAAATTATATCTTTAAATACTTTTGTCAAAAAGGTTAATTTCTTAATATCATATATTAAGAAACAATGAGTATTTTACAAGATGATGATATTTATCAGACAATGCTATCTGACAGAACCAAGATGAATGGTAGATAGAATTGCTAGGGTCATGACGATAGTGTCCAAAAATCGATATTTTGCCAATTCACGGATGATTTAACGTAGATTCATTTTTTATTGAATCCAAAAAAACATCTTCGTCTTCCTATTTTTTTCGTCCCGACTTGTTACAAGGGCAAGGAGAATATTCAAAAGACACTTACCTGGCTGATGTGAAACATGACTTGCAGGAGATATCATAAAACCAAAATTTTAAAAGATATTGTTTTGATTTATAATTTTTTTTTTTTGTAAATTTGTTATTTTTTCTACATTTATATTTTTCTTAGAAAATTTATAATTATTGTAGTGGTAGTTTTATATTTTGTTTGAATAAAATATAACAATAATCGGATCAATGAAGAAGGGCCAATCCTAACCCATGTGCTCCTCCCCTCACCAACGCCATATTATAGTACACTTTTACAGAATTAATCACACTGACATCTTATTCACATGGGGATGAAATCACCTTTCAATGGATTACCCTCAGCTTTCTTCTATATTGAAAATACTTTACAAGTTGTAAAGGTTAAAGGCAGCCTCTCTCTTGCGGTTTCTATCATGAATATCTGGAAGTAGTAAATTATGATTTCTCTCCACTAAATAAAGATTCTTTCTAGTGCAGTTCATATCTCTCCACTTTAGGCACCGAGAGTTATATATGTTTGGTAAGTGGAAACCAGATTTTGTGAATGGACTTATTCAGATTGTAGTAGTATATATATTATTTTACTTTTTTGTTAAAAACAATCGTAGTTTAGCAGGAGAGGCATGTTCTGATCTTTCCGTCATTATTGTTTCTTTTTCGTTACCTTTCTACTCACGTCTTATAATATCTGGAACTTTGTTCTACTTTTTATTTCATAAGTATTTCCTTTACAATGCATATATATATAAGATAGTTTGGTTTGTATTTACGTATTAAAATCCAAACCGCACCTTGAAAGATGCGAAGGACATTAGTAGTAGTAGATTTTTTATCATGAGTTCAGACAAAATGTTATGATCAAGCAATGTGTGACCTTGTGCTGAATTGAGCTGCATGTGTAAGGCGCTGGATAAATGGCTCCCTGCTAACGTACTCAGAGATTGTAAGTGAATAGCA